CAGTGAGGCATGGCTGGTTTCACGTTAAAGAAACTTTTGGTTGTTTGTTTGTAATACTTAGTTCTTTCAGCTAAATCACTGAAAAAACTCAGTCTTCTGTTGTAGCTTATGCAGGAAGGAGTTCATAAAACCATGACAAGAAATTACACTAAAAAAAAGGTAGAAAAGGTAGAAAAGGAGCAAGATGCAAAGAGGAGATGAGAGAAACATTAAAGAAGGAATCAAGAAGAATGCAAATTAAGCAATGGAGTAATTCAGTGTCTAGTGGAGAGGTGGATTACCTGAACATCTGTAAACTGAAAAATAAGATTTAGAAAGGATCTATAAAGCAAATGTGGAATCACTTGAAACAAAACAGAGGCCAGTACAAAAAAGAGGAAAGAACATAACAGTGAAGCAAAGATGACTATAAATAGGGTGGGGTACAAAGGACAAGAAGAGAAAACAGGCAAAGCAATATTAAAACTTATGGGAAAGGCCATCTTAATGTGGTACCAATCAGTTGTCCAACAAAAGCACCACAGCATTTGTCCAAAGAGTGATACAACACAAGCAGTTGACACCTGCAAATTAAAGTGCACGACACAGACTGCAATATATCAAACTGAAAGGGTTCTAGGGAATAGGACAGCTAATGAAAACCTGAAAGACTTACATTAAATTACAAGTTTGGCCATTATCTTCCTATGAGATATGAAAAATGGGAATATAATACCTCCCACCTTGTTGTGAGGATAGAACTCATTAATTATCATGAAGTGCTCACACATTACAGTGCTGGGGGGGAAATAAGCAAATAGAATCTAATTGCTATTGTAGAATAAAGAGTACAAAAGTTATATTACTGATTGTTGGACTAAGGGGTTGCAAAATGATTGTTTTATCTGAAAGACTGAGAAATCCAAAGACCAAAGAATGATTGGTCTTCACTTGCCTTTTTTTTTTTTTTTTTTTTAAGTCCAAGCAAGCACAGTCATTGGTTTCAGAAAGGTCCATTGAGACAGCAGTGGAAAAACGAGAGAGGAGGTCTCCTGAATGTGGTACATAAACACAAATAAGGAAAGCAAACTATACCACAGCATATTAAGATACACCAGAAAAAATACACAGAAATTAAGCTGGAGAATTATCTTCTGATAAAGCCATAATTTTAAAAGGATGAGTGGAGACAAAGACTGGCAGACAGGATCTGTGAGATTTATTTCTTCTAATTCTTCAACATCTAAAAGTTAAGATCTAAAAGGGTCTGTTACAGGAACCTGGTCAACAGTGAGAAACACACATCTAGAGGAGATTCAGCCCACCTTGGACACCTATCTCAAAAAAAAAAAAAATGAAGAGCTCCCTAAAGGTATCCACAGTGACTAGCTTAGATATCTAATTTTAATAATTAAATTACTACTAATAATAATTACTACTTGTACTTAAAGAAAAACATAATATCATGTCCTCTGATTAAATGAAGGCTCACAGCATGGAAGAGCAAAAAGAACCTGCTAGAGAAAGCAAAGAAGGGACAGCAGAAGCAGTTTTACTGGCCAGTGCTGCAGAGATTCTATTAAAATCTCTCTCTATAAAATAAGATGCCACCTAAGCTGTCTCAATCATTTCACAAATACTGGCAAAGGACCTGGAAGCAAAACTCCAGCAGTTGTTCAGACATCAACTGGGGAGAAGAGTCTGTGACGTTTGCATACACAGTTTAGACGTGGATTCAGGTTTTCTCAGCAGACATTCAGTATCAGATCACTGACCACCTCATTCTTATTGCTTTTTCTTTTAAGTTAGATTGGTGATTACAGTGACAGCATAGGCACAAATATACCTATTTTCACACTTACAAAGTGTTTTACCAACAAATATTTAACTTATTCTTATCATTTTAATGAGATGCAAATCATCAGGAAGCATACCCACAACTTTCTATTCCCAACAAAGTGCTACAATCAGAACATATTTTTTTATTGGATTCCTAATCTGCATTTATTTAATCAGCCTCAACTTTACTGTTGAAAAGAATTCCTACATTTTAAATTTTTAAAATAAATATTTGCATAGAAAAAATAATGGTGAAAAACTCAAGACACATGGAAGAGACTATTGGGAAGTGCATGTTGGTGGTTCCTGAAATACTGTGCCTTTTAAAGGGATACAAACGTGCATCTATAAATGACATCTCTAAAATAACTGTTATTTTTCTGTAATAGAAATAAAATTTTTTTTTTATTAAGAATTGATACAGGTATTGCAACTGAAGGAGGATGAAGTTTAGCATCATTATGAAATATTCACCTTTACTAAATACCAAGAATCATGGAATTATTTAGGAAATTGGAATTGGAAAATTGGATTGGAAAATTGAATTGTATTGGAAAATACCTTTAGGTTCATTGAGTCCAACCATTAACTGACAACTCCACCACTAAACCATGTCCCTAAGCGTCAAGTCTACACATCTTTTAAATACCTCCAGGGATGGTGACTCAACCACGTCACTGGGCAGCCTGTTCCAATGCTCGACAACCCTTTTGGTGAAGAAATTTTTCCCAAGATCCAATATAAACCTCCCCTGGCACAACTTGAAGCTGATTTTTCTCATCCTATCACTTGTTACTCAGGAGAAGAGACCAACACACACCTCGCTTCAACCTCCTTGCAGGCTTGTAGAGCAATAAGGTCTCCCCTCAGTCTCCTATTCTCCAGGCTCAACCACACCAGTTCCCTTGGCCACTCCTCATAAGACTTGTGCTCTGGACCCCTCACCAGCTCCGTTGCTCTTCTTTGGATGCACAGAAACAGAATTTGAGTGTGTATGATGAACAAATGTTCTAGGATGAACAAATCCAGTCCTTAGCCGATACGCTGAACAAGCAAGATATCAGTGGCTGAGATATCTGAGACTGGTCTCTCTTTTCATGCTGTAATTAGAACTCAAGGGGAACTTTTTAATGGTGTCTCCTTAAGTCAAAACATTTGTTCTGCTCAGCTAGCCAAAGAAGCTGAAATGACTGGCAGGAAGCACACACTCTCAAACAAGCAGAGCTTGTAAATAATGTACTTTCTTGTTATCTGTTCCCTCCACACTGTTTTCTAAATTTATAATAAAGAGATTAAAAGCAAAACAAAACAAAAACCTCCTTTTTTCTTCCTTTTCCCTCTTCAACCTTTTGATTTGAAGACTGTTATGAAGGAAAGAAAAAGTACTTATTTCAACACATACAGTCCTATAAACATACTGGCAACTCAAGCAGAACCACAATCTCAATGCTACATTTTTATATTTTACAGTCCTTACAACACGGATCTGCAAAACATTTCAGCCCACTAATCTGAAATTGCTAGGACTTAAAATATTCCATTGTGATACAAAACATTTCAAAATAAAAACTCGAGCTGGTGTTGGGTTTTGGTATTACACTCTGTGTTGCTGATGCCACACCAAGTGTTACTCGCTTCCTGACAGATCGGGCCTGACTCATAAGGTACTGTTCTTAACTCAGTAATAAAGGTTATTATAAACTTACAGTGCAAGAGTTCAAAAACACAGAAAAAGAAGTAAAACTGACATAGAAATACAAATAGGACACCTGGTGGAATAAATTTTTGGGTTTTTTTCTTTATTTTTTTGGGGTTGTTTTCGGTTTTGGTTTTGTGTGGGGTTTTTTTTTGTTGTTGTTGTTTGTTTGTTTGTTTTTGTTTTGTTTTGTTTTCTGTGGGAAAAATGATTTCTGAGGAAAGTAAAAGAAAATTAGACTGAAGTATGGAACAGCATTTTCTTTCCTGCCTTGCCTAACAGGTTTGGATTCATCCTGTAGAAGCAGTCACCTCAAGACTTTTCCCAATACTATTTAACCATAACAGATACAGCAGGATCTTTTACTTCACACCATAATCTGCCATCCCTATACGGTGCATATAGATCCCAAATCCAGTGTTTAAAATTTGGAATCCTGTTTCCGGAAATGATTAACACCTGAAACCCCAGTGAATTTAACCAGAAGAGACCAATATCTTTCAAATTTAGGTTAGAATTAATGAATTTTACTTAAAAAATGGAAATGTTAAAACTCAGGATAGTAGGCTTGCTTGTTGCATCTGAATTCCAGCACTTGTAACTCCACGTAAGTGTATCAAATAGTTCTGCTTGACATGATCTATGTACCTTCTTTAATTGCCTTACAGCAGAAGCATCAATTAAAATAGTGATGCCATCAGTCTCTAAAGAACACTTGATTAAAAAGTGCAAATGAAGCATGCTGGCAATTCTGATTAATACATTTACAACATTTTTTCTGTGGTTTTATAAATTAAATTTATAATGAAAACAAGCCATTGTATTAGCTCAAGTGAAGGTGAAGATAACTTGTCTTCTCCCTAGAAGCCATTAAGATTTTTAATAGTTATAAAACTTCAAACCACTTAAGAGTTTTAGTAGTACCAAAAATTGAAATATCATACATTTTGTCTAAAACTTGGGACTGGATTTTCAGTTTCCCCAAGGCTTATTATGATCAAATGAGTGATCACAAAGTGCATAAAAATATTCATTAACATTTTACATCTGCTTTCCACTCACGTAAAATATTTCTTATAAAGAATACAGAACAAGGTAATATGAGCTTGGAAAACAGGACCAGAAAATTATTCCTTCAGAGTAAAGTAAATTATTTACATTTATCACTTTGATTTTCCAGTTTTATAATTACAATTTTATTGCATTTCAAAAACTGAATGATACTGCTGTCAGGATTTTTTTCTCCTTCCTACCAGCACATTCCCTGCCTGATCAGTAACTCAAGACTCTATGAGGGAAGCCAGATGTTGAGAATTAGAATATAAAATATTATCTGTCTCTTGAGGAAATTTTTAAAGATGCTTCTAAGTTCTTAGGTTCTTCCTTCTGCAAAATATTTAAATGTTAGTCTAGAGTTTGATTAATCTTTTCAATCCCTTATTTTTCTGATATTACAACCATTGAAACAAAAAGAAACGTTACTTACATCATTCTGATCATCTTTTGCATTGTAATAGATTATATCATTATTCTGTAAGAGAAAGAAAAGTAATTCTGTTAGTCTGAAAGTAGAGAATAAAGTTTACTAGCAATAATTTGTATTAAAATACATTTTAAAATAAACCCACATTTCTTCATGTATTCTCTTTGAAATGTGACTGAATCAGACCTTTGCTTGCTCTCTGTTACATGTAATATTTTCCATGCTCATGTTTAACTTCATTCATTTAATGCTCTTCCGTAGTAAGCTATGTAAGTCACTCAAAAGGCAGCTCGAAAAGTACAGATAATGCTGGACAAAATCCAGAGCTCATAAAAGACTTCTGTAAGCCATTTCTTTTACAGACATACGATTCTTTCACTATGCAATTAGGTGATTTATGCACCACGACATCTAGCAGGCAATAAAGACAACGACGCATGGGCATTGCTAAGTGGGTTAAGCATTTGTTGCAGACACATTTATTGTTTTATTCACCTCCCACAGTGAAAATAAAATCTGGGAAAATACATCACAGGGGAGTCTGGCTGTTATAGCGTAGAGTGGATCCTGGCAACTCTGTGGAAACACTGCACCATGTAATTCAAGCAAAGTAATGCAGGAGAAGATTACTAGTTTCCACTGCAAAATCAGCCAGCAACTTCATTCAGTGTAATGTCTACAGCAGGTATTTCCTACAGAGCAGGTTTTTGTTTTCTCTTGAAATACTTCTGAACCATTTAAAAATCTTAAAGATTTAGGCTCATTGTAACAGCTTCCTACAAAATATTATTGCTGTAATGTGCCCTACATTTGCTTTTTTGAATGAAAGTAAGAAATTGTTATGTACATTTCTATATGAAATAGACATTTACATGTACATAGCATTTTTTCAAAGTCTCAATACAGATTGTGAATAAATAAAGAAAATTAGAAGAAGTTACATTTCTTCATGTCCTCAGCACAGGAAGGACAAGGACCTGTTACAGCGAGTCTAGAGGAGAGCCACGAAGGTGGTCAGAGGGCTGAAGCACCTCCCGTACAAGGACAGGCTGAGAGAGTTGGGGTTGCTCAGCCTGGAGAAAAGGCTCCGGGGAAACCTTATAGCAGCCTTCCAGTACTTAAAGGGGGATACAGGAGAGATGGGGAGGGACTCTTTATCAGGGAGTGTAGTGGTAGGACAAGGGGTAATGGTTTTAAGCTGAAAGAGGGCAGATTTAGGTTAGATATTAAGAAAAAATTAAGAAATTCTTCACTATGAGAGTGGTGAGACACTGGCACAGGTTGTCCAGAGAAGCTGTGGATGCCCCATCCCTGGAGGTGTTCAAGGCCAGGCTGGATGAGGCTTTGAGCAAACTGATCTGGTGGGAGGTGTCCCTGCCCATGGCATGGGGGTTGGAACTAGATGATATTTAAGGTCCCTTCCAATCCAAACCATTCTATGACTCTATGTCCAGCATTTTGTTTAAAACAGGCTATTGCTGTTAACCTCTAAAAATAGCCTTAATTTGTATTTTCAATTCTGTTTGTGGTAATACCTTTGGATTTATGTATCTAAATAAAAAGTTGAACACAAAAAAATGTTTCTTATTTGTAAACACCAACAAGAAAGAAACATTTCAGTAACCATTTTTCAAGAGGGTAAGCCAATTACAATTATTACTTGCCCTAAAAAAGTACCATGACATGTGCTACAAGACAATGCAGTTCACCTTTATAAAACATTGTTTTCCTCACTTCATAAATCGTGACATTGTTCCTTCTCGTTTGTGACCTTTTTCGGACCCAAACATTAAATATATTACAGATGAGCTAAATGCTATTTTGAGATAAATGCTATTAATATGAACTCATCCTCATTCCTTTTCCCTCAAAATGCACTTTTCCACTTTTCCCTCCAGAAGCTCTTCCAGCCACAGTTCAGTTGGTTTTGTAACCGTATCTGGGTAACTAAGCCAGACATCAGCAAGTCACAGACATAGGAGGAAATTTCTTTCATCATTAAAGACCAAAGCTAACTGTTCATTCACTTGATTGTTGCAAAGAGAAGACCATGTCATGCTTGTAGAAGCCTTAAAGTAAGCTGGAAGAGGCAAAAGATTCGATTTTCTTTGTATCTTCTTTACATTGCACACGGTTTTGTACAAAATAACTGTTCTGTAAATAATTTGATCTGTTCAAAAAGCCATGTGATTCTTTAGCAGGCAACATTTAAAACTAGAAAGGATGAAACCTCTGAGTGGTACTAGCTGGCAATGTCAGCAGAAGTGTTTTCATTGCAAGATGACTTTTTTTTAAAGTTTTTTCACTTTAGAAAATGGGAAAAAGTATTCTCCTTTCACCATATATCCTTACATTGTTATGTTAGAGCAGCTCCCCTGCAATCTTGTCCCTTGAAGCTTTTGTTTGGGAAAAAGACCAGGAAAAATAATACAGGCAAACTTATCTGGATATTATGTATATATAATTATTTTTTTTAGTGGTTTCATTTTAAAAAGGAACATTTTCATAAACCACAATTCTATTAGGCCTTCTCTTGTATCGACTCTCATCAAGATATCAGTTTATTTCCCCACCCCTTTCCCATTGCTCAGGTTTACCCCAACAGTATAATTTGTCACAACTCACTTAATGCATAGGATTTGTAATGCTGTCCTCTCTCCATACAAATTGATTTATATACTTAAACAAGATGATTCTTTATTGTCACAATTATATTTTCCCCTTTCTTTTATATTTTTGTTTATTCATTTAAATTGATCAAACATTGCTATCTACTTCTACTGGGCTAAGCAGCATTTTTAAAATCACCATTAAAAGAACTATGTTCAGACACATGACAACACCTATAAGTTAATTAAAATACTCCCCCTGCAAAAAATGAATTAGGTATTTTGTTAGGCTACACATATCTTACAGTTCATTACCCTGCCTGGAGATATTACCTATTTAATGGATAAACTAACAGTGGCATAGGTCATATCTCACTACTCTTAATACAGAAAATACGACATACACAGGCCCACAACACACTGAATGCTGCACAGTTCACAAATTAGATTCATGGATCAGTTAGATCTTTAGAGGACAATTTTTCATAATTTAACCACTTCTAACTGACAAGAACAGATTGCTTTGTTGCTGGTTTGAAAGCAAGTGGTTTAGTTATTTATTAACTCCTTGACACAAAGAATTTGAGTCTTCCTGCTGTTATACACTTCTGCCACCAGGTAATGCCGCACACTTATTCAGCAAGCCTAAAATACAGTGTAAATGTCATAAAAATTTATTTATTTTCTTTATCCAATAACGCTATGAGAGAGGGGGTACATACTCACTGTTACTTCTGTTCATGAATGAAGGGATTTAGTAAGACAGTCCGGAAGTTGAATTTATGGAAGAATTACTTTAGGATACCATATGCATAAATTAGAAACTTTAGTGTAGTATCAGTGATTATACAAGTTTACAAAATTTATGCAGCTGGAGAAGTGAAGGGTAGTTTTCACAGTCACTAATTCCCCTCTCAAAGCAAACAGCTTCAGTATCTGACAAGGATATGCAACACATACAAAAATTACACTAAGAACCAGGCCATGAATGTTTTTTGTGACTCTCACTATTTTCTTCCATTCTAGCCTAATAATCTTTTCTCTTCAACACTTTCATTGATATTATTATCTGCTGAAGTTAGATTGTTCCATTGTCTTTATATTATTTTTCATTTCAACAGTACGTTGCTTCTCAGCTTTGGGTATATAGTGATTCCAACAGGAAACACCACATACCGGGTTGTATTAATGACTTCCTAAATTTCATCACACAGAAACCAAAGGTTCTAGTCTCTGTGATCTGTATGTCTAGAGATTTGAAGAAACACACAGATTCATCAAATAGAAGAAAAGCATGGGAAAATATAGTCTTTCAGAACATCTGCAGATGAAATTTGGATTCACACCAACACTAACTTACACTTCCATTTTGATTCTCTATGGAGCAAGTTTACAGCCACAGTCTACTGATTTGACTAGTTAAATGCCTAATCTCAGCTCAGGATTATGTGAATAGAGCTGAAGTTGTCTTATCATCACAGGAAATAACACTTTTTTTTCAGACAAATTATTTCATGAACAACACAAAGGGATTACAGCGCAACAGGGCATACTGACTCCACAGATAATTACGTATAGTAAATCGTGGCATTATATCTATGTCATTTTGTTGGCAGAAGGTATACGTTCTCCTTTAGTCTACCAAGTGCTAAAGAAGAAAGCTCCTTGCCATCACTGCCACATAATAATTTCTGTATAAAAACATGCTCTGTCAATCCTGTGCTAGAATTCCAAGCATTGTCCATGAAATACGGAGGCCATCAACGGGTCAAACCTCTTTTTCAGTGGAAACACTCTTATGTATGATTTTTGAAGCATCTGCTTTTCCACAAGAGATATTTAGATTTCATTCATGAAAGGAAAAAAAAAAGCAAAACCAAAACCAAAACCCTGGAAATCTTAAGATTTTCAACAAACATCTAATACTATCTATTCAGAAATGTTGCTTTCACGAATCTGTGATTAAGACTTCTTAAGCCCTCAGGTCTGTACATGAGGCTTCCTAAAGAATCTCCCTAACTCAGATCCTGTGATGTGTCTCAAAATGGAGTTAGGCATGCACAGGAGATTGAAAGCCTGAAATCAGCTCTAGAACTTTGTGAGGCACTATAATGGACTACCTGAAAATAACTAACTAAATAAATAAACAAACAGATAAACAGAGGGAGGGGGAGAAACAACTTCTCTGCAGGTTTTCATATAGTAAGAAATTAATGTAATGTGTTAATTTAGACAGACATCACAACTACCATTTTTTCCTAGAAGTAGTAGTTCTGAAACAATTGTAGATAAATTGTGAAAGCAAAATATAGCACTCTTTTCCATGACTTTATTTGCTACAGGGATGCTGGAAGATAAGGAACTCCCTCAGAAAAGAAAACAAAAGAGTTTTTGTTAGAGGTCTCCTTACTTCAAACATTTTCTGCAATGAAACACTGG